CCTTTGCACCGTGGACGTCCCGTCATGGCCGTTGCCTATGCACCCTGTGCGTCCCCGTTGGGCCTTGTTTTTTTCAGTTTGTATGAAATTGAAAAATTTATCCGTGAGAAATTGATTGTCCGAATTTTAGTTTGAATGCTTATGTTTTGTGTTAGTTGCCACACCGTGGATTATAAATCTATAAGGCGTAGCTTCGGCCTTGTATGTCTTCAATTGCTCAATCTGCTCTAAAACAAATCTGTTTACTACCCTTGCTTGACATACCCGAATCTGTAGTTCTGTTAAACAACGATAATATTTAGAGCTTTTCTGCAGTTTATTTTCGATTTTAATTTGTAATTTAATAATTCTGTAATTATGCTTTGGGAGCAACATCAAATTTTTATTTTTGAGATTTTTGTGAAAACAGTTTGTTTTCGGCTCAATGGGTAGCCCCTCAAGTATTTATGACTGTGTTACCACTTCATTAGTTTTCATCCAGTAATTGTCTAAAATTAAATTGTCCTACTTGGCATGTTTTTTCAAAATGAACTTAATTCAAATTGATTCGAAACAAACATGAAATTTTGTTAGATCTAGTTTTTCCGACAATTGAGAAATGTTTTCGACTCGACGGCTTACGTTTGATTTTTGTTTCATCAGCTTTCAGCTTGCCATGCTATGTTTGGTGTTGCATCGCAATTGGTGCGAAGCGTCTTGTCGCGTCTTCTGTGTTTATTTTTTTTTCAGGTGAGTTCTAAGTTTCAGCTTAGTAGTTCAAATCTTGCGGAAAATCTTTTTCGGTAGTCTTCTGTAAATTTTGTTTACACTAGCGAAGTGTATTATTACGAAGATTTTTTTCTAACCTAAGTCGCAAATAGAAGTGCTCATTTGGTGGCACTTTTGGTATATTTCAATTTAATCATATGTAACTTAGTAATGTAAGCCTGTTTAGGCATAAGCAATTTAAAAGCATATGCTGCCACTTTTTTGGCCAGTAAAAGTTCCTGTTTAAAAGAAAGAGGTATAATGAAAATGTATGGGTTTTTTTGTTTTTTTTTTGCAAAGATTTGGAAAACAATTTTCGCAGAAATTTCAGTTTTTCTCAAAAACTACTTTCAAAAACAAGATATTAACGGAAAAACCAGCTGTTCTTCTATGTGCCTGCATTTTTAGCGAGATTCTTTTCATTTTATTCTACGTTTTACGGCCTTCGAAATTTTCAGTAGAGGGAATTTTGACCTATTTGTTGTGATTTGTTCATTTTCTCAAATATCAACCACAAATATGAGATGGACTTTCATTCAATTGAACAAATGATGGAAATCTTCCTTTTTTTAGCGGCTATTCCCTTAATTCCGTTTAAATAGATTATGGCCTCAAACAAGCCCATTTTGTTGTTTTGAAAGTTCGTTCATTCTTAAAAAACTACTTAAACAAATTGGAGATGGAGGGTTTAACCAAAAAAAAAATTAGTTATGAGATTTTTACCTGCGCAAGTGGGTATGCCCGGCGTTTTGCAAAAAAAATGGCGCTAGAAAATGTCAAACTTATGATATTTTGCCATTTTTTTTGCAAACTCATTCCTTCTCTTTCAAAAACTAACCTGCTGATTCTGACGGTGATAGTTATTCAAACTCACATTGTCCTGAGTGGTTAGTGTGTGAGACTTTCAATCTCCGGGTCGCAGGTTCGAATCTCATTAACAATTTTAAATCAATTGAATCCAACATTAGCTGGGCCACTTGTTTACTTCCAAGCGACAGTAGCGCAGATGCGAGGACGTAAATTCCTAATCAAGAGGTCGAAGATTCAAAGCCGGAAAGTTCCAATAGTTTTATTTTTTAGTGAAATTTTTGCTGCGGAGCATTGCCATTTCGATAGAAACTGTGGCAGCTTTTTGATAGTAATATTACAAGCGGTCGTGGACCAATTGTGAAAATCTGTTACTTCTAATCGCACTAAAATTTGTTTCTCAAGGTGTACTTCTAATTTTTTCTTTTTGCCTTTTTTGGAGTTCTTTTTTGTATTTTCCTCGCTTGTGTTTGCGAAGCACAGCTTGGTCTCTGTGTCTAATTTATAATCCTTTCTCTTGTTAGTGTTTTGTGCGTGTTCGAAGAAGTGCTTAGGTTTACGGGCAAGATTTCAATTTCATTTCTTGTTTTATATTGCTTTGCCAAAATACGCCGTCTCATGACGATACAAGTTGTTTGTAAATAAAATTGTTACAAGATTCACAATTATTACGCTAGCGATTTGCAACCTCTATCAAATCGCAACTTTACTTTTATCCCGGTAAACATCTTGTCCAGCCGAAACACAGAATCATTTGATACCTTGAGCTGTGATAAAATTAATGCTTGGGACGACAAAGATCCGATGTTCAAGCCCGTGCAGTATCTGTACTTGTTCGAAAATGAATTTTTTTCTGCTTAAAATTTAATTTAGGACTATCGTCGATGCTTCTTTTTTTTGTAGGCCTGGTCTTAATAGGCCTGTAATTTCTAGGTTAAGTAAAATTAGAATTCGTCTGTACTAAAGTTGGAAGTCATTTTGAATTATTACTGTTGGTGAAGATAATTGAGTTTTTGCGTTTTTGAGATATTGGTGAAGGGGACCGGGCCTTATGCCATAAATTACCTGATTTTTAAATTATGATTATAGAAAAATTGGTAAATATTATTCAATTTTTCCTTTCATTTGGCCTGGGTTGAGTTTGCAAATGAGCTTTCATGATTTACAAGTATGTATACCGTTGCTATCAGCAAGGTTATTGCAATCGGGTACTAGACTTTTTCCCGTTTTTAACTTTAGGTTTAGCTCATAATGAATTCAAATTTCTATGCGTCCCTGGCACACTTGATCGTGAGATAACTAATATGTCTGGGACGGCAAAGGTCCTGGGGTCGAATCTGACGGAACTGTTTCTTTTTTCAAAATGAAATATTCGGTCTGAAAAAAATATCAGCTCATTGTTTGTCGGCTTATGTTTTGTTGGCTTAATTGCAACATCATAGAAATGTTTTTTTTTTTGCTGTATGAATTATGCATTGTATGGGTTTCTAGTGTTTTTACTTATGTACTGCTGTCTGTAGTTTTACCAATCTTGACTTTTATATATTTTTTCGCTGAAAATTTTATTCTGCCCTTATGATTTCGGCTTATATTTAATTGGCTTAATGACCTTGAGTAGATGTTTTGAGTTAATGTTTAGAGTAGTTTCAAAAGAACATAATGTTCATGCTCCTCTCTGGATCGCAAAAATTTTTGAGATATAAATTGATTTTTTGTCGACTAAATGGTTGATTACTGGCTGGATGTTTTATTTGTTATTTATTGATACTTTTTTTCTCGTTTTTCAAGAGGTTAAAATGTTTCATGGTTTTCTCGTTTTTATACATGCCACAAACTTTTGATAGAAACGAAATCCTGTTGAAACAAAAAGTTCATTAATTTTTTTTGCGGTTGCAAGGTTTCTGATTTAATTTTTTTATGGTAAATTGTGTGGAATAAGTTTTAACTTAAATTTTATGGTTTGTTCAATGATCGCGCAGTTTTGTTTGAAAGCGATTCAAATTGATGGCATAGCGTATTGTTTTCATATGTCAAAATTTGTTCGAAAAAAAATCCACATTTTTTAAACTTTCGTTTTTGATTTGACTGTTTTGTGTACAAATATATTTGGCGACTGTCGAGAGAGACTTAGGAGTATGGTTCTTTCTGGCTAGAATTTTAAGGAAAATGAATTTTTGTTTTTGTTTGTATTTCCTGCAGGGGCCTTTTTGTCTTATCTTTTTTTTGTGATCCATCTCTCTTAACATTGACTATCAAATTCAAATTTGATAAGATTGATGTAATTGGGTTATTTTTACAAGTCTTGAAGGTTTTTTCAGATTTTCTCATGTTTTATTTGAAGTTGTTTGAATTTTTAGCATTCATTTTTGTTGTTTTTTCTTTTAAATTTTTTCTTTCAATTTGATGTTCCTGTTGATGTTTTTAGCTTTTTTTGCGTAGGATATGCCGGTTGTTTGCTTGCAAGATTTCCAGCAACGCTTTGTGTACATTTAGGAATTTTTGGATCTCGTTTTTTCTACCAAAGTTTTTTTCTGAGCGTTTTGATCTTATTTTTATGAAAAGGAAATCAATGGAGTTTGTGTAGTCCGAATGTTCTAGGTAATTGGTTCTAATAACAGCCTACGATTGTTTTCTAGTTTTTCACTTTTCGTTTGAGACTCAATGTTTTTTATTTTGGAATTTTATTTTGTGTCGCTAGTGACTCAGCTTCGCCTTTGTGTAGATGATTGATCGTGGTTACTCTTGAAGAACCTTATTGTTTGATTCAGGCGCGGATCTAAGAATTTCTCGAGGGGGAGGGGAGGTTTTTCAAAAAAAAAATTTTTTAGTTGATTTTCTGACCAAATTGATTTTCTGAGCTCTCCGAAATCAGTATAAAGACCCTAATTTAACCGAATTTTCTGCACCGCTGGCAAATTTTTGAAAAAACAGGCCAAAAAGTTCTTTTTAGTCCTTTTTTCGGAAAATTTTGACCCAAAAAATCCCTTTTTTTGGGCGCGCGCTCTCAAAATTAGTACAGATTGGCGCCTTTAGAAAAATTTTAAGGTCAGTCAGTCAAAAGTTGACATCTCGAAATAGTACAAAGGGGGAACCCTTTGGGTCGGCAGGGGGTCGAATCCCTGAGAGAGAGTAAGAGGGGGGCGTCCCCCCTTCCCCTAAATCCGCTACTAGTTTGAGTTTTATCGAACATGTAGCACTTATTTCGGCAGAGTCCGTTTTTTAAGATAAAATGCTGGCATATATGATTGCATCTCCAAAAAATGCAGTTCTAAGTTTAGCTATTTTCAGTTGGCTCAAAAAAAACTAAGCATAGTTGAGCTAGGCGGTCTTTCAGTGCTCTTAGATTTTTGATTTGTTAAATATATTAACATAATTTTAAATACTCTCAATAATTACTTTGACCTTATTTCCACATCTTGAAAAAGACCAAGAAATATTGAAAACTTTTGTTTTAGTTAAATTAATGGTACTTTGTCACTATGTCTGATGCCAGCAGTAAAACTCTGTCCTTCTCCTCTTATAGGTCAGCTTCTCAGGGGGAAAATTCGACAGATCTTTATTTGAAACTCTCGAAGCCAGTGGCGATCTTTGAGACAAATGATGACAACCAGGATCAGGCTAACGTCGTGTCAATATTTTTCGATCAAGTTTTAAACCAGGTACGACTCAACAATTAAACACAGGTCACCTGTAAATGATATTTTAGTTAGCGAATATCTTTTTGTCCTATTGACTCGTACTCATGTTTTTTTGTCATGAAATTTTTTTTTAAAATCAGAGCAAGTGCCACCTAGAAAAATGATTCTATGTTAAGTGTTTCAGTGTGGGTTAGGAATTAAAATAAGCTAGTCAGAATAAATTTGAATCATTAAAGGCCCGATTGTAATGTATGTTAAAGAAAAGTATATGGCCAGATTTAAGCAAATTGGGATTCATTGTCGCGAAAATGCTGTCATTTTTTGGTGAATTTTTTGGTGGTGTTATTATGGTAATTTTGAGTATAGTGCATGTATTGAACTTGAGAGCTATAATGCATAATATAGCCATTTAATTTTCAATCAATTATACTTGCTACTAAGATAGTTTTTAGTATATACGTTACTCTGTCAGATGGAATGTTATTCAAAAATTCAGAGTTTCAAAAGCCAAAACATTTTGGGCAAAAGAAGTAAACTTTTTGAATTTTTGAATAACATTTCATCTGACAGAGTAACGTATATACTAAAAACTATCTTAGTAGCAAGTATAATTGATTGAAAATGAAATGACTATATTATGCATTTTAGTTCTCAAATTTAATACATTGCACTTAAGGTAACAATTCACCAAAAATGATCGCATTTTCACGACAATGAATCCCAATTTGCTTAAATCTGGCAATATACTTTTTCTTAAACTTACATTATGATCGGGCCTTTAATGATTCAATCTGTAACAATTGAATTGTTACAATAGGTGAAATTATTGGTAATTTTGAGTACAGTGCATGTATTAACTTTGAGAGCTATAATGCAGAATATAGTCATTTCATTTTCAATCAATTATACTTGCTACTAAGATAGTTTTTAGTATATACGTTACTCTGTCCGGTGAAATGTTATTTCAAAAGCCAAACTTTTGGGCAAACGAAGTAAACTTTGAATTTTTGAATAACATTTCACCTGACAGAGTAACATATATACTAAAAACTAGATTTGATCTAGTTATGATCTAGATATGATGAGTCTCACGCACTAACCACTCAGCCACAGACTCTTAATACCTTACAAACAATAGCCACAAATACAGAACAGATGCTATGCAACTTCCAATGCTACAGTGAATTTCCATATAAGTGAATACTTTTATTTAAGAGTTAGGTTAAAAAAAAAAGGTTCTTACTAGTAAACTAACGTTCGCAAGCTCGCTAGTGTGATGATAACGCTTGCTAATAGCAGGCGTAAAAACAAATACTGAACAAAATAAATTTGCCAGGCTACCTTTCGCTAGAAGACGATGCCTTTTTACAATAGATGACAAATTCAAGCTAGATCGCTCTTTGTTGTACTTCGAACAGTACTTATAATTTATTTCAAAAGCCAAACTTTTGGGCAAAAGAAGTAAACTTTGAATTTTTGAATAAATTATAAATACTGTTCGAAGTATAACAAAGAGCGATCTAGCTTGAATCTGTCATCTATTGTAAAAAGGCATCGTCTTCTAGCGAAAGGTAGCCTGGCAAATTTATTTTGTTCTGTATTTGTTTTTACGCCTGCTTTTAGCAAGCGTTATCATCACACCAGCGAGCTTGCGAACGTTAGTTTACTAGTAAGAACCTTCTTTTTTTTAACCTAACTCTCAAATAAAAGTATTCACTTATATGGAAATTCACTGTAGCATTGGAAGTTGCATACTGTTCGAAGTACAACAAAGAGCGATCTAGCTTGAATTTGTCATCTATTGTAAAAAGGCATCGTCTTCTAGCGAAAGGTTGCCTGGCAAATTTATTTTGTTCTGTATTTGTTTTTACGCCTGCTATTAGCAAGCGTTATCATCACACTAGCGAGCTTGCGAACGTTAGTTTACTAGTAAGAACCTTCTTTTTTTTAACCTAACTCTCAAATAAAAGTATTCACTTATATGGAAATTCACTGTAGCATTGGAAATTGCATAGCATCTGTTCTGTATTTGTGGCTATTGTTTGTAAGGTATTAAGAGCCTGTGGCTGAGTGGTTAGTGCGTGAGACTCATCATATCTAGATCGCAGTAGTTCGTAGGTTCGAATCCGAGACGTGGTGGAACTTTTACTAATTCGGGGCTGATTTTCTACATTTCCCTTTAGTTTAAATTTGAAGGCCAGAATCCATTCAGAAGTTTTATACGTTGTCCGATAAATTTGTTAAAAGCTAAAACAAGTAAAGCGGTCGTTATGTCTGCACAAATAATTAAAATTGATGCCTTTTTAGCTGTTCGTAGTGAGATCGCACGGGGCTACAGGTGTCTCCTCCTACTCCGCGTCTCTAGTCCCCTCCATTTCCGGAGCTCTATACTACCCCCAGTGCCAGTTCAAGATATCGTCACCCTTTTTCGGACCCATTAGGTTGGAGACCTCTAATGGTGGCTATTATTAGATTAATTTTTCTGTCAAAATTAAGTTTTCATTGAGAATCAATTTCTGCTAAATTCGATTGCAATGAAATTCTACAGAATGAAGCGGTAGTTATACATACTGGAGAAAAGAAAAACAGAAGTGAAAAATTTTTTTAGGAAAAATGCCAAAAAAATATAGCTTAGTTTTGCCCTTAAACTGTGATGTACCTGACTTTTTTCCAAACTGGAAATATTCCTTTCCAAAAAGACGTCGGCCTAAAGTTTCTGCTTATGTTTTCTCAGCTGATTTTCTAAAGAATTGATTTACTAGTACGCTTGCTAAAAGCGTTTAGAATTGATTGTCTTAACGCAATTCTCAATGTAGTTACTCTTAGTGTTTTGAATTACTCCTGCATTTTTAAATTTAACTGGCCTTGACTTATAGTTTCCTGTTTTTGTTTTCGCAAAGAACATGATTCCAGAAAAAAAAAAATTTTCAAGTTGTGGTTTTTGAAGTTTTTCTTCCATTTTTTGGACTTAGTGACTTTTTTTCTGTCTGCTACCTCGCACTGCTATTTTTATGTTGTATCGCAAGTAGTGAGAAGCTCAGCTTGGCCTCTGTGTTAAATGGTGAAAATTGTTCAGTTGAATTATACTTTTTTTCTTCAAGATACACTTCTGAGCAAAGTGAAATGCAAGATTCGGTTTTTACTGAAATGCCGCTTTTCAAGAATCATTGTGGACATTTATTTTCAATTTAAATGAGATTATTACTTCGACCGACAGCGAATCATCTAAACCAGCCTCTCTGAAAGTGTCAATTTTGTTAATACTAGTTTTTAATAGTTTGATACTGATCTTAAAATGCCTGTTTTCACCATCTGTCGTAAATTTTCTAAACGGCGTGAAAAATAAGTATCAAATCGTTTTCGAAATATTGTACATGTAATTAGAGAAACAGCAACGAAATGCGTTCACTTCTCACTCCGTTTGGAAATTTTACTGCTGATGTTAAAAACTCGCATTTTAAGACCAAGAATAAATTGGTGAGTCCATTAAATAGTTAACTTATACTTCCAGAGCGGTTATTTCAGATTATTTACTGTCAGTCGATGTAATGGTTTCATTTAACTTGCAAGTAATTATTATCCAGAATGATTCTTGAAAAGAGGATTTTCACAGTGAAAAACCTGAATTTGTATTTAATTTTGTCTACTTGTGGGATCTTGTCTGCTCTTTAACTATTTTAGTTAAAGAGATCTCTATAGTGTAATGCGAAACACATTATAAATTTAAAAACAAGACTGCTCGTATCAGGGCGAAGCCCTGAATGTTCCGACTGCTTTTGAAGGTTTATGGAGCAGCAGTAATAACATAAAAACATTCTATGAAATAAAATAAAATGAAAAATTTTTTTCCTAAAATTTGAAGTTTTTTATGAAAATCATCCCCCCACACGCCATATAAAGTACAAAAAGATAGTTTTCGTTCCTTGTAACACATCAATTATGGCAAATAAGCTTCGTTCAACCAATTTGGAACGATTTATAAGACGGATTAAATCTCCGCTTACGCGTTAATAGCGCGAATTATATCGCGCGTTAATTGTCCCAAATTGGTCAAAATGGCCAAAATGGCAATCTTTAAACCCTCATAACTTTACGAAAAATGATCACAGGTGAAATATCTTTTCAAATTTAGGATCAGGACAACAATACTTTTTGAATGATATAAAAAAATTCTGTCAAAAATGGCTAGTTAAAAAGTCGAAATTTGTCTGAAGAAAAAAAAAACCCTCCCCGAGCACAAATATTCCGTTATTTTCGTATCGAAAGTCGGAACAACAAGACTGCTCGTATCAGGGCGAAGCCCTGAAAGCTCCGACTGCCTTTTAAGGTCTATGGAGCATTAATAAGATGAAAAATTTCAATGTAAAAAAAATTAAACTTTTTGAAAAAATTTGAGATAAAATTTGAGTAAAAACATCCCCCCACACGTCATATTAAGTACAAAGTGATAGATTTTGCGCCTATTAACAAATCAATTATGGCATATAAGCTTCCTTGAACCAATTTGGAACGATTTCTAAGACGGATTAAATCTCGCTTACGCGTTAATAGCGCGAAATTTATCGCGCGTTAATTGTCCCAAATTGGCCAAAATGGCAATCTTTAAACCCCCATAACTTTACGAAAAATGATCACAGGTGAAATATCTTTTCAAATTCAAGCTCAGGACAACAATACCTTTCCAATGATATAAAAAAATTCCGTCAAAAATGGCTAGTTAAAAAGTCGAAATTTGTCTGAAGAAAAAAAAACCCACCCCGAGCACAAATATTCCGTTACTTTCGTATCGAAAGTCGGAACAATAAGTAATATGTCACAAGGCAAATGTGGCGAGAATATGCGTGGATTTATAAGACTTCATAAGACTTCAAAGCGACATAAAATCATGGGTGCTGTCTTTGTTTCATCAGATCCATCAAACAGTCTCCAGACGGTCGATGTCTGTCAATAAAAAGGGCGAACCAGCCCAACCAGATTGAATTTCTTCTGCCTCCGAATGAGACCGCGGATGTATTTGAGTATGCCTTTTATCAGTCGTGTAAAGCCAAGAACTCAAAATTGCAGGACTTCTATTGGGTGGGAAACACACAGCTATTGATTGTGACTAACATGTCCTTGGAGTATTACTGCGTCAATATTGCTAAAAAGGTAACTAAGGAACGGTTGTCGAGATTAATGCACTTATGCGGAAAAGCATTCCAATAAATATCAGTTAATAGATCATGTCTAAATATCCTTGGAAGACTGTGAGATTTTGACTAGCTAAACTTCAAATGGTCATGTCTTTTGAGAACGAATGGTTTTCCTATTCACCATAAAGTATTTATTTTAATTGCTGGAGTCAGTTTGCAACATCTGATTTTAGTTCCAGTTGACTATTCCTGAATTTCGCTGCAAGTCATTTTGAGTATCACGCAACTTATCGTTATCGTGAACGCAGTTTATCTTATATTCGTTTTATCTTTTGCATGGATCTTTTTCATTAGCTTGGAAACAGATATGGTTCATTTGATACAGGCGTGCAAAGTAGCGAAGACTATTTCTATGAATGTGGCATGGGCGATCTTTCACAGACTGCCTTCTGGGTCGAGAGGAGGAGGCACAGGGAACAGTCCGTCGATGTCTGCTCCAGATGAGTACCAGGGACTGCTAGTTGTATCGACGTCTGACCAGCAAAATGTTGTCAACCCCTTCATCTTTAAATCAGGTATTAAATTCAAGCCCAGATAACTCAAGCCCAGTCTTAACATTATGGAGAATTGTCTGTATCTATAGTAAATGTATAGTCTAAAGCCTCGTAAGAGTAAATTTTCTCTTAAATTGTGTCGGTTTCTCTAGACTTGTTCGTGAAGTCCTGTTGTATTAGTGGGAGTTTCGAACCTTCAATAAATTTCAATTTTTTTGCAAGTTCAACATGGAGTATAGTTGAGTAGGATTCTTTTTTTGGATGGAAACTTTTATTTCGAAATTTACTTAACAATCCACCTTATGTTTTCTGATAAAGAATGCTTGTCGTTGTTCATTTGAGTTGATACCATCCATATTTCGGATACAGCAAAGAAAAAAAAGATCAAATAGGATGCCTCAGTTCATTTTGGAACAATTTTCGGACTGATTAAATCTCCGCTTACGCGTTAACTGCACGAAAAAAAATTCGCGTGTTTTTTATCCCTAATTGGCTATCTTAAAACGCCCTACTTTTCTAAAAAACAATCAGAGGTGAATTTTGATGAAATTTGAGCTCAAGATAACAATACTTTTCGGCTGATTAAGAGTCGATGAACTTAGTTCAGACTCTTATATAGGTCTCGATTATTTTTTTGTTTCTTTTTTTTTCAGGAAAAATGTTAAGAACTAATTTTACTTTTCGCGGTTATACTTTTGATTTCTCAGTTCATTTCCTTTGTTAAAAGTGAGGCAGAGTCCAGTGTCGAACAGCAACAGTGTAAGGTCACGGAAAACGTGATCGACTTCTAGTATCGAAAATGGATTTTAATTTTCAGGGTTTCCAGCGAAATGAAAAGTTCACATTGATCCACTTTTCGCTAATTGGGCTAACTTTATCGAAAAAGTGCCCATCATAAATTGTTCTAGAAAATCGAAGAGCTTTAAAAGCATCTATTTTTGACTCTAAAGTTCGAAAGTTTTTTTTAATTGCGTTCATTGGCTTTTTTCAACAATCTGTTGCCTGTCATTACACAAGCAAAGCTTGTGTTATAGTATGAACCCACTTTGTTTCCAATCTAAGTCTCAAATTTTGTTGAGACGCGAATATTGTTGCGACAAAATGTGTTCATTTTGAAAGTGTGCATTTCGATCAATATCCAGCTATTAAGTACAGCCAATGCTGGAGATGTTAACACAGAATATTATATTACAAAGAGCTTCTTAGCTCCAATGTATCTTGGATATGTAGCGTAGAGGTAGTGAAGGAGACCCGCAACAAAATAAGAGGGTTCCAACCTGTGCAGGTTCGGAAGTTTTATTGATCTTTTTCGTTTACTAGCTAAAATGCGTCCGCTTTATAGATTGAGGCATGTTAGTCGGTATTTTTTTTTTCAAATTGACTGGTATTGCTAATGCGTCATAACTGGCGTGCGTCACTTAAAAAATTTTGTAGACTCAAAATTTTTCTCATTCAGTTTTCCCAGTAGCATGATCAGTCATCTTTTTGCTTGGGTATGCGAAGTGCAACTTCGCCTCTGTAAAAAATTTTCCCTAGTACAATTGTTCCGTCACTTTTCTCGAAAGTCGGAGTAACAAACTTGTCTTTAGGGTGACGAAGTATCCAACAAGTGCTTCAAGCTGTTTTTGACCCATGATTTTTTTCGGACTTTTTTCCGACTTTTGAACAAAGTAACGTGTTATTTCTGGTCGAAAAATTTGTAAATAAGTCGAAATGTAGAGCTCAAATTGAAAAATATTTCGCCTGTGATTGTTGTTTACAAAGTTAGGAGGTGTAAGAATTGCAATTTAGCTCAATTTGGGACACATAACGCTTGAGGCACGCTAATCAGTTATGTTCATATTCTTTAAATAGCGTAAGAGTGGTAATTTTGTACACTAGCAAGCTTGCGAGCGTTAGTGTTTTAGCACGAACCTTTTTTCCAACCTAACTCGCAGATAAGTGTTCATTAGAAATGTTGACTTATTTGTTGGCACTTTCGCTATAATTCGACTGTCTTTTAAGCTCTGGTAAACAGTGTTGGCTTTTAAAAAATTGATAGAATTTTCATCAAAAAACAGATAAATTGATTGTCTATCCATAAAAAGATAAAAATTGATCTTTCCATACCTTGTTTTGTTCAAGTTTCTCTGTAAAACTGACACTAGATATTAAATTTTTGTCAACTTTACCAGAAAACTGGAAAGTTCACGTACTCTTTTTTCTAGTTCTTCTACAGGTTTTTGTATTCGAAATTTTCAAGTTGTTTTTTCTTCGTGATCCATGCAAACTTTCTTGCAGTTCAACTGTGGTTATGAATTCATTTATTCGAACTTTTCATGATCCATACGAAATTTCTTCCGGTATAACTGTGGTAAAGCAATTCTTTAATTGAATACATGGGTGCTGTTTTTTTTTTAATTTATACAAAAAATTTTCATCAGTTCATTAATATGCAGTTCTTTCCTTGTGTATAACTTGTGTTTTATTTTAAAAAATATCAAAGTTATCGTCCTCTGTCACAAAAAAGGTAACCATAGTATTGGTTTTTGAGAATACTCAATTTTTCCTAAATCCGTTTTATTGGCTAGATCTTATTACTGTGTAACTGGTTCTATGAAAGACTCGTAAAGCTGCAACAGGGTACCATTTTGAAAGTACATTTTGCAGTAATATAATTTTGATGATTAAATGCGAATTTTTTGTGTAAATATGTGATATGGTTTACGTCTTTAATTGCTCCTAAATACTTCATTTCGGAAAAAATTCCAGTTATTTCAACCGTTCATACCGAAATTTTCTCGATTGTGTTTCCAAAGTGAATAAATTTGCTTTTACTTGTATACTCCTCAATGTTTTACATGCGATCCAACTGGACACTTACTCAAAGCTCGAGACATTTTCTGTCCCTCGTCATCTATTTGTCCGTAAAAATTGGTATCATCAGCAAAAATTGTGATATCGAATTTTTGGCGAGTATTTGCTAGATAAATCAGAGTCAAGTTAGGAGTGAACCCTGGGTAGCAGCATCCTTTGAACCCTGTGGGACATTTGTGTCTGATTTTTATAATCAACTTGGACTTATTGTGTTCTGTTTGTAAGGTACGACTCTAGCTCATTAATAATGGGGCTTCTCAAACCAACGAAAAAATGTTTTTGCAATAGAATAGAATGATTGACTTTCTCAAACGCTTCCGATCGATCAATAAAGCAGTATGCAGCTGAACTTTTTTTGTAAACAGACATAATGTCGAGCACATTTAAGATTGCATCAATAGTAGAATTTTTCGCTTTGGGAGCAAAAATGTTTTTATGCTAGAATTTGATTTTGTTCTGGAAATAAAAGTAGTCCGAATGCATAAATTATTTTATCAAAAAAACTGGGAAGCAAAAATTGGTATCGCACAAACCCAGAGAAAATAAACGCACGAATAATGAGTATGGCAACCTCGGGCCGTAATCACTAATCGAATAAGAATATCCGCAGTGAGGATTTTTTGATAGGAATTGACAATAATCCTTCATTTGGGCTTCCTTGGATCATGCAAATACACTAAGTGGACAAAATTGATATGAACTTCACATTTCTTGTCTTTAAAAAGTTGTTTTTAATGTGGATTTTGGATACCCCTTTACTTCGATTTTCAGCAAAATTTTTACATTGACCAAAAGCAATTCATCTGAGCTAGCGTCTATGAATCTAAGAGTATTTGGCTTTAAAGATGTATCAATGTAATCCCGGTCTAAAAATGCCAAATTTCCTCAGCTGCACTAAGTTTTGCATCGCTTTGCACTCTCTAGGTTACGCGGAGTAAAAATATTGTTCACGTGACGTGAAACGTTCTCAGCGAGACAATTGATAAAACCAGAATGAAATAATTCTTTACTTACTTCTTCACGCGGATTGACACTTTTATTGCAAATGGCGTTTTCAGAGCCGGATTGCATTGAAAAGTCTTAAAAACTAAACTTTGTTAGTTTCATAGAGGGTGGCTCTGATCATTTGCTCTTGCTCTAAGTAAAATTGAAGTCAAGGTTGTCCAAAATGGATATTGAAATCAAGCCTTTTAGAAAAAAAATCTGAACTTGGGATTAATTTTGTCCACTAGTGTTGTGGCATGCTCTAGGAAGCTCAGATGTAGGGTTTTGGCCAATTCTTATATATGAAATCTCACTGCGGGTAGTCGCTTTCGGTTGGCAATCACGGCCCGAGGTGGCCATACTCATTATTTGTATATCTATATTATGCCAACTTTTTAAAGCGTTTTTGCCATGCCAACTTAATTTTGTGCCTGAGTATATCCTACCTAATATTAGCAGCTATAATCTTGGTCTGTTATTTCCGCGTTCTGATTTTTTGCCTCTTTGAAAATTAGGTATATTTATGGAAACTTTCAGTTTGTTAGCAAAGTAATTTGTCAAATTATCTGTTGAATAAAAAAGCTAGAAGCGTACATATGGGCTGATTTTTTGAATTTCATTACAACCGAAAGATAGTTTGTTTTGATTTTTTGCTAGATGATTAAAAACTTCAGAACCGTTTGTAGGTCTGAAACTATTGAACTTTCAATTACTATTTCACCCTTGCGATAAGCAAGGGTATTGCAATCGAGTACTAGATTTTTTACCGTAAATCACTTTAGGCACAGATTGGTCAAACTTTGAGCAATAGTAATTTTCAGACATGCTCAATTTTTTAATTATTCAGATAAAACTACCTTCATTTAGGTAGTAATTAGGTGTCTGATCATTTTGTAGTTTATTGTTGGTGTGCAAGTAGAACAAAAAGTTTGTAGTTTCTTGTGGGTTGCAAGTAGAACAGAATGATGTTTTTTCCATCAAAATTGTGTTCATCAAGATTTAAAAAATCGCAGATTATGTTTTGATTTAAAAAAGCTTTTTGGTAAAAAAAAATACTTAGTAAAGCGGAATAAAAACAAACTTTTTGCGACTTAAATAAAATTTTTCCTCAGATTGCACGGTTTTTATCTTTATTAATCCGAACAATTTAACACCATACAATTATGGTACTAAATTACTTGCTTGGTCCCGTGACAAAACTAGTTTAGATGACTGGCCCCGCCTATTTTCTAAAAACAGTATCCAGTACGAGATTTGAACCTACGTCTAGGGGTTGGTAACCGGATTCGTACCCGCTAGACTAACTTGGCCCTTTTCGATACCAATATTGAGAAACAAAAATGCTTACTGTTGGAATTAGCCATATACTGTACCTGGGTTTTATTAGGGACCACAGCATTTTTGAGGGACCAAAAAGTAAACAATTTGACATGATTTACATCCAAAAAGTAAACTTGAAAAGAGACTCAGTTAACATCAAATAAAAAATTCAGCCATTTAAAGCCAACCGATTGTGCAACTTACTGCGTCTAATTTACACTTTGGAACAGAAATGGCATTGTCATACAACCGATTGCTAAAAAAAATCAAAACCAAAATGAGCGAAATCTACATGAATTTCGAAGCTCCCGAAACAATTTAAAATAATTTAATTAAGACTTCACTAGTTTCATAGAGATTAGATATAGGTTTATTACCCTTGCGATAAGCAGGGGTATTGCAATCGAGTACTAGATTTTTCCCCGTAAATCACTTTAGGCGCAGATTGGTCAAATTTGTAGCAATGGTAATTTTCAGACATGCTCAATTTCTTGAATTTTCAGATAAAACTACCTTCATTTAGGTAGTAATTAGGTGTCGTCTGTTTCCGGTGTTAGTTTCTTTTTGAATAATTTTCTCGAAAAAACTGAATTTTTTTCGGATTCGTGGTTTTCGGCCTAGAAATTGCCTAGCATCTGTTCTCTGCTTTATTTGTGGCTATGGGTTGTTGTTTATTTAGTGTCAGTGGCTGAGTAGTTAGTGTGTGAGACGCGTGAGCTCTAGGTTGCTGGTTCGAATCCAAGTCGCAGTCGAATTCTTACTAATTCGCGGCTTGTTTTTATTTTTTTCTTATGACACTTTATAGAGCTGCTTTTTGTCGTGTTCTCGTTAGTGTTTGCGTAGTGTAAATTGATGTTGATTCTAGGCTCGTCTAGTGGCAGTGTGGTTAAGCTGGCGAAGTTTGAAGTGGACATGCCGATGTCTTCCAAGCGACCAGGTCAGAAGCAACAGCTGCTGGAGAGCGACCTATCCCTGCTTACCATATACGAGGAGACATACGTGTCGGTTATCCGAAGACAACCCCTTCTCCCTCACCCACACTCGTCTGCTAAGGTGTCCTCGGAGTTGGTGCTTTACCGAGTTTCAAGGGAGGCTCCAGCTAACAAAGCATACGTTCTGAGGTAAGGAGATAATAACTTTTGCGAGCATGTCTTGTAATCGGGAACTAGACTTTTTTCCCATAAACATCTTTGCTTACACGTCTGTAAGAAATTGTGAAGTTGCTTTATTAGTGAACATTAGCAACTTCGAGATCTTTTCCCACTTGGCCTAGAGGTTGCACGAATGCCTTTATAACCTAAGGTCTGGTTTCCAGTCCTGTCCGGACCTTGTTTTTCAGTATGTATGAATTTGATTTTTTTTTCAGAGACTGAATTGTCGGACATTCGTTTGTCTGCATAAGTTTTGTCGGCTTAGTTGCCAATTTGGTGAATTTTCATGTGCTTTCAGCAATTTTCATGGAAGATGAGAGTGTTTTTGGTTTACTCCTGTAGTAACTATAATTAATACCCATCGTATATTTTTTTGGTTTCCTTTTTCTTTTTTTTTTACTGAAGAGCTTTATTCTGCCTAAATGGTTTCGGCTTATTTTTATCGGCTTAGCTTCCTTATTTTGTGCCACTTCAAAGGCATGAAACGATTGATTTTTTTTGATAAGTTCAAGTAGTTTCTGTTGCAAGATTTCAAAATTTTAAAACTTACTTGCTCGAAAATTTTATGGCAACATTTTCTTTTGTCATATATTGTTTTCGGCTCAATGGGCGTCTAGCCACTTGTTTTCGGCGGCTGAGGTGCCGCTAGGTGAAGACAAAAAGTTTATTATATACTGGTGGTTGTGTTTTTCGATTGTGTTTCTGAAATTATTTTAATTTTTCCCCATTTTTTGGATTTCGTTATTTCCGCCTTATTTTCTTTTCGCTATCTTGCAATAATTGTAGTTTCTGCGATTCGCAGAGGATCATCGAATGCTATCCAGTCTTTTTTGGATATTCCATTTGATTTACTGTCAGCAATTTCATCGGATTGGTTTTTGGTTGTCCAAAATAAAATGTGCAAAGAAAAAGTTATATTTAGTAATTTAAAAAAAATGGCATTTAATCAACATTATTTTATCAAGTTTATACAAAACTAACAGACATCGAGAGCATAGATAAAAGGAACATTGAAGTGCCCGCTAGGAGCCTACACCTAAATTTAAGTTCATTTCAAATTTCTCTCTGACTAAAATTTTTTCAATGCAAAATCTTAAATTAGTATTACAGACAATTTTTTTCTAACTCAATTTCTCGAAAACCAGAATGTTTAATCGACATCTGTTTTAGAAAGTGGGTTTTTTTTCGAGATTTTCCAGCGGAGCAAAAACATTACCTAATGATCCAGTTTTCTCAAGTTAAGTTAATTTTATCACAAATTTTCATCATAAATTGTTCCTGAAAAAATAAAAATTGGGCCATATATTTTTTACTTTGAAATTCGAAAGTTTACGTTCTGCTAAAAACAAGTCAATATTTTCTGTTTTCTTGCTTTCAATGAATCTTTTTCCAATTGTCGGTCGGCAATGTTTTTTTTTGTTCAGGAAAAAGTGAAATTGCTCTAATACCTATTAATGCATGTTTGAAGGCTTTTTTTGAGTTGAATTCGTTGAATTTTTTTAAATGTCGAAATTTGGAAATATTTTAAAAATTTTAAAATATATTTTTTTTCAGTTTCCGTGTTATAATTTTTCCAATGTTTTTTTTTTCAGATTGTCGTCTGAAGCAGGTCTGTTTGCGGTGAATGTTGTGGACAATTTAGTTGTAGTACACTACCAGGAGATGCAGATATCGATGCTGTTTGATGTGAAACTGTCTGGAGAGAGTGACGGTTTCACAACCTTTCTCAATCCTATCCTAACGCCCCCTGGAAGTCTAGCCAAGGCAGAACCAGTCGTCCATCCCAACTCAGGAAAGACACATGTAAGATAAAGTAATTTGATAAATATTCAAGAGAAGACTGGTATTTTTTCAAATGTTAACAATGAAGCCGAGCGTTTTTTGTTCTTGGAAGTGGGAAGGAACTATCTTGCTTAGTTTTTTTCCGGCCGATTGTAGTTGCCTCAAGATAAGCTTGAAAAGTGTCAAGTATGGTAGAATGTTGAAGCCCTTATTGCTCGTGATTTTGATTTCAAATTTTTTCAGCTTCGAGAATAAGTAGTCCGAACCAAAAAATAAAAACTGGAGTTCTAAAAAAACTTTTTTGCACAAATGTGGTGGTAACATTCTCTGCTACTTGCACAACAACTGGTTGTTTTTGTATGAACTATGTTGAATCTTTTTTGCGTGTCAGTTGTTAGTCTGCATTGCAAAAGAGGTAAAGTGTGAAATTTTGATCTGCTCTCCATTGTTTGAATCCATTATTTATTCAAAAAACTATGTTAATTGAATTTTTTTAAATTCTGACAGTATAACGAATAGAAGTAAAACAGTGCTGAAATTAACTTAGGCCGAGAAATGTGTTTTTTTTTGCTACCAGGACGTGAAGTTGTATGACAAAGCCTGGGTTGTGTTCCGCCCTGATGTCATAATCAACACCCAAATTGGCGCCATGTGGAGACTCACATTAGACCTTCGTAAAATAGCACCGAAGTTTACGACTAATTCTGCACTGCTAAGATTCCTGCAGTTGCGCTATAATAGCCGACAGCTGCAGTTGGATCTGTTCAAAAAGTTCTTCTCAGAGAAAACTGTCACCTTGGCTCAGACGGCGACGCTCTTCGACATCTCGAATGACGCATACAAGTAAGATTTTAGATGATCCTAGTTGGCATTTCTTGCACTTTGAATTTGTAAAGTCGCTTTTTCTTATGATACATTTTTTCTTGTTTTGCAAAATTTTTTGAACAATTAAACAGGCGCTTCTTCGAATCCGAGCGAAGTCAAGCTAAAGAAAAGAAGTCTAGCAGAGGAGAATTGTCAGACAGAGGGGGACTGCGACCCTTCACCTTCCACGACAACTCAGTTCTTCACCAGAGTGACATGTTGACCATCTTCGTGGATATGTTAGACCAGCCGGTGGTGTCTCCAGATAGGAGCAAGTTCATAGTGGCTGTGATTTTGGAATTCATAAAGTCGCTGGAAAAGATGCGATTTCGTAAGACGATTTGCTTTGCTTTTTGTTGCGAGATCGTTTGGAAATTGAATAGTGAATTAGTTCTGAGATAGACGAATGCCCTTTTTTCTGATGTTTTCTCTTGATATTAATCGATTTAAATTTTGCAGTGTTTTGTGATCATGCAGGGTTTTGAGTTTTGGGTCTTTTAGTGCCAAAGAAAATGGCGTTGCTTATAGACTATTTTTAAATCGTTTGAAAGATTTTGGCGTCCTCTTGTAGCATTGCTGTCGGATTTTAATGATTATTAGTTAGTTACAATTATTTTGTAAGCGTCAATGAACGTAGTGTCATTCAAGGAAAAGTTCTTCAATTCAAGTTCCCTTCAAATTCACTGTTCGATTTATATTCACTAGCTAAAAGGAAATCAAATTTTGCTTTTTTTCAGGAAAAGGCTTAAATTTTGTTCAGGCTTAAATTTACTTTTTCGCGGCTTCACTTTTGATTTTTTTTTAAATTCAGTTCTTTTTGTTTGAAGGAAAGCAAATTCATTTCTAACTGCAAATGTGTAAAGGTCACGAAAAACATGATCGACTTCTAGTTTCGAAAGTGGAATTTAATTTTCAGATTTACCAGCGGAATATAAAAATTTTTTATCGATCCACTTTTCTCAAATTGGGTCAATGTAATCAGAAAAGTGTCAATCATAAATTGTTTTAAAAATTCGAAGAGTTTTGAGGGCATCTATTTTTATTTTTAAAACTCGAAAGTATTTTTAAAAAGTATTCATTTTTTCTGCATTCATTGACTCTTTTCCAACTGTCTGTTGGCAATGGTTATCTTCTAGATTTCCCAGCGGTATGAAAAAAATTAAGGTATGATCCAGTTTTCTCTATTCGAGATCTAGGTGCATGAAAAAGTATTGATCATGAAAATTTCTTAAAATTTGAAGAGCTTCAATGTGATTTTTTTTATTGTTTTCCACGCAAAATCAGGAATCACGAACAATCATCGGACTGGGCTGTATGATATATCATATTGAAGCCCTTACAGTCGTAAGTCGAACCACATTTAAAAGTTAAGAAAAATTTTTTCCCCGTGTCCAGAAAAACTGGTTTGAAATTTTTGATTTGTCTTATTTCGAGCGAATAAAGCGAGCAAGCAGTCTTGATTTAACTGCTTAAAAGTTACAATAGCTCAATTTAAAACATAAAAATTTAGTTTTTCTTGAGTAACGTTAGTTTACTTTGAGTATTAAGCGCCTTTTTGGAATCAAAGTTTTCAAAAATTCAGAAAAAAAAACATTTTTTTGATTTTTTTTCTTCAAGTAACTTTTCTTAAAAAATTGTTTTTCACTTTGCTTATTTTACTATGACTGTTGAGTATACCTTATCTCCAGTTTTTTTTCAGCTCCTTTTATCACACCACGCCGAAAAAAAAACGACAATAGTTTGAAAAAACTTATTTTTTAAGACTATGGTCGGAACATTCTGTGCCACTTGCTCAGTAACCGGCTATCCTTGTTAATATTGCTTTCTGTTTAATGAGTTATGTATCTCAAAGTTACTCGTCACGTTAATTTAAAAGAAAAGCGAAATGAATAAAAAATAGTTCGAGCGAATTACGTTTTTCGAAGGAACCTAATGAACATTATTGCATGGCTTGGTTGTGTTGTTTTCTAGAAGTAGACTACAAGGTTGAAGATGTTCTTGTGAGTCACCTGGTGCGCACACAGCAATTCTACCAATTACATCAGCTGCTGCAGTTCTACGTCATCACAGACAGACAGCTGATGGCCTGTAAGCTACTCAGTCTCCACGAACAGTACCCGGCCGCCATTCAACTCGCACTGGACATGTTCAAACGTCTCGGTCAGGACTCACACTCAGGTTCAAACTAGTTATTATTATCTTTATACTTTAGTTTTACTTGTTTTTTGAACTACATGATTGATGAACCGAAACGATACTGCTGTATGATTAATGTAGAGCGGTGTATATTTTTGTACGATCTTTTCTACAAGTGATATCTAAAAGATTTAATAGTGCTAGGTGAAGTAACCGGCAGAAAATTATGAGGAAAAGAAATTGAATGCCACAATTTTTTTCTCATTGACACAGTAATTACACAAGCCAAGCGTAGTGTGATACTATAAGGCTTCCCAAGCTGTCCCAATTATAAGTTCTACTCTTGCTGACACCTTTACAGCACTTTTACAGAGGTCGAGTTGACTATTTAATAGCAAGTGCTCGGACATTTGATTGCAAATATTTAACACAATCAAATGAACTGAAGAAAGCTATTTATTCCATACAACAGTACACTAAAAAAACTCATTTCCAAAATTTTTCAACCCAGTTGTATCGCGAAAATTTTGATGTGCATAACTTATTCATAGTTTGAAAGTAGTGCTGATTTAAATTATCCGGACAAAACGAACAAAACTTGAATTTTCAAACGCGTTTTTCTCAAATTGGGTTAAGATTAGACAAAAAGTGAAGAGAACAAAAGTTGCTTAGAATTTCACCAAAATTAATATGGTGCCATTTTGTCTCCGAAATTCTCAACAAAAATTTTAACCCAAAAATGGGTCGTTTTGGCTTTTTTCAATTAATCAAGAATTACGCGGAAACTACTTTGTTAATTGATGAGAAAATTATATCACAGGAAGCCTCTTACGCAGCTCAACAAAGTTTAAGAAGGGTTAAATCTCCAAAAACCAGTATAAGAGAAAAAATTATCACCTGATAGTCAATAAATGTGATTTTTACTATATAAAACCCAGAAGTTCTGTTTAAAAATAAATTTTAAACTATTTCCGCAAATTTTTGGAGAATTAACCCTTCTTAAACTTTGTTGAGCTGCGTAAGAGGCTTCCTGTGATATAATTTTCTCATCAATTAACAAAGTAGTTTCCGCGTAATTCTTGATTAATTGAAAAAAGCCAAAATGACCCATTTTTGGGGTAAAACTTTGGTTGAGAGTTTCGGAGAAAAAATTACTCCATATTAATTCTGATGAAATTTTAAGCAACTTTTGTTCTCTTCACTTTTTGTCTAATCTTAACCCAATTTGAGAAAAACGCGTTTGAAAATTCAAGTTTTGTTCGTTTTGTCCGGATAATTTAAATCAGTACTGTATGCGTTTCAAATAATTACATGCAAAATTAAAGTCATTGCCTTTAGTTTTTTACATGCAAATGTTTTATTACATTCATAGTTTGTGCATTTTGAAGCTCTCTTTGCCGCTTTCTTGGCTGTCCTTGTTTCTGTAAGCGTGTGTAGGCACAATTGTTTAGGGCACAAATTGGGTTACATCTTTTCTCCTTTTTGACCCCCTTTAAAGCTGACAACTCTGCGTAAAACTAACATCATGATAAAGCAGGTAATATTCCGTGAAATTTCTCTTCAACTACTTCTGCTCGACTTCATAATTTCTAGAATCCCTAATTATTACAGATAGATAGCAAGCTGATTTTGTCACTACTGGCTACTGGATTTGAAATAATCTCTTTCAGCTTAGTGTGTTATTACGAACCTTCTTTTTTCTAACCTAAGTCGCAAATATTGGTGCCACTTTTGGGGCACTTTTACAGCTTTTAGATAGTATGTGCTTTGATATTCGATTAGTAATAAGTCAACACCGTTGATGCGTTTTAAGCTCATCAAGTGAACCGAAAAGAGTGATTTGTTTCAAACAACATAACAATAATAAAAACTCGATTTCAGAAACTTTCTAACTCAATATATCTCGAAAATTTTGGACATGCATAATGTATACATAATGTGGCTTTATGCTTTCCGATTTGTTTCATGCAAAGTTGGATGCCTTCAGTTTGTTATATTTCAAATTATTACTTGCAAAATTGAGTCTATTGTATTTGGTGCCACTTGCTGAATTGCTTTGGCAGCTTTAAGCATATGTAGCTGCTTTAGTCATGACTAGTGTTTGTCGATGGTTAAGCGTGCGTGGCTGAGTGGTTATTGCGTGAGATTCAAAATCTCTATATTGCAGTAGGTCGCAGATGGAATCCTAGAGCTAATTAGAGGCTTATTTCTTTTTTCCTTATTGCACTTTCTTGCTTGTTCTCGGTAGTGTCTGCGAAGCGAAGCTTCGCCTCTGTGTCAATTTTTGCGAATTGCACTCAAAATTGGCAACTGAAAGTTGCAAAGGAAGCTTAATTGAAAGTTAACAAAATTAGTGCATTTTTAATTGCGTGGTTAGTGCATGAGACTCATAATCTCTAGGTCGCAGATCGAATCCGAGATCTAGCCGAATTTTACTACGAGGCTTATTTCTACTTTTTCCTTATGGAACTGCTTTTTGCCGTGTTATTGCTAGTGTTTGCGAAAAGAAGCTTCGCCTCTCTGTCAATGCTTCCGAGTTGCATACAAAATTTGCAGCAGAAAATTGCACACGAAGCCGAAATTTAGTTTAAAAATAACACAGTTTAAGTTCTTTTGATTCATCAAATGAACCGAAGAAAGCAATTTGTCTCTTATCAACTACAAAAGAGAATTTTTTTTTCAGAAATTTTACATTTCTAAAATTCCATTTGAAGTTCGTAATTTATTTATACACTATTTGGCTTCATGCTTTCCAAATTATTAAAGCAAAGGTTGTCTGGGGTTGCTTTCTTAATAACATTCGAAATTATTAATTGCAAAATTTGTGATTTTATGCATTTTGTAGCTTCTTTGTGCCTGTTTCAATGTAGGGCATTCAAATGGAAAACTTGAATGACCGAGGACTGAAGCTCAGTTCCCCTTACAGGGGCGGATCCAGGATTTTCTCGAGGGGGGGGGCGAATTTTCAAAAAGTGTTCGAAAGTTTGTCGACCATTTTTTTAGGTCGACCTAATTGATTTTCCGAGCTCTCTCAAAGCACTAAAAAGTCCGTTTTGGGGCAAAATTTTGGCGCCCTAGGCAAATTTTTGAAAAAATTGCCCAAAAAGGCGCTTTTAGGCACTGTTTGGAAAAATTTGACCCAAAAATTGCGTTATTTTTGGCGCGCGCTCCCCCTCAAAATAAGTATATATTGGCGCCTTTAGAAAAATTTTTGGGTTCGTCACCAAAAATGGATATCTCAAAATAGGACAAAGGGGGGACACTTCGGGTCGGCAGCAAGGGGTCGAATCCCTGAAAGGAAGGAACGTCCACCCCCGCCCCTGTCCCGTTAGATAATATTTTCAAAACTCAGTAGTTTTGTTTTTTCCTTTTTTGACCCTTTTAAAGCTACTTCTTGGCGTATTTTCCTTCGTTCAACAGAGTTAATTATTAATAAAGCAGTGATGATTCGCATACTAACCTAAATTGTACAATTTTGATAAAACTAAAACGCTCACGTTTTTTTTTTTGTTTCATGTTGATTTTCAAAGCTTCCTATGGACTGAACTTATCTGAAGTTTTGGATTGTTTAGAAATTTTGGAGTTGTTGCTCTCGCGCCAGGAAGTCATCACTGCCATTAAATTTGCAAAAAAGTTTTACCTGATTGATGACTTGAGAAGGCCAGAAAAGTTCCTCGAAGTAGCCAAAATCACGGGAGACCGGATTCTTTACTACGCAGTGTACAAATTCTTCGAAGAGTTCAACTTCCAACAGTCTAGTCAGCGGTCTTTGTTTCCCTCAGCAAAGTGTGTAATATACACTCGACATTTTGAAGAGCTTTTTGGCCGCAGTAGTCTGGAGGAGCATAAAGATACGATGAATGTTGGCATCGCCAAGCAACTGAGTGTTATTTAGAAAAAAATTGATATTTGAGTGATTAAATGCAACGGCTGAGCAATCACTTTGATGGAATGGAAAAATTCGAGACAATGGACCGCTTGATACATAAGTATTTTTGTCGCAAGTGTCGTAACGCTGTTTGTTTTCGTTTAAAAAAGTATATCTGCCTCAATGTATAATTTAAGAAATGAAATTAATATTTTAAGACGAAAGTGCCAATTTCTACTGGTATCAAAGTTCAATGTGTCCTTCAAAAAGAGTTCAGAAGTTTTTTGTTTCAAGCTGAATCAAAAAGCAAACTGTTATGGATTTTTTCTGAGTAGAAGTAGCCTTATCTTATCCCACATACATGAGGCCTTACATCAACCGCGTTTCTGGAACAATCTGCATTAGTGATTTAAAATTTAAGATTTTGAATGTATTCGAGTTTCAGTGCCTGTCAGTTTTGATGATAGTTTTCCATAGAGGTTTACGAAAAGTTCGTTCACCTCTGTATCAATAAATAAGTAATCTGATATCTCAAAAATTTTGAAGACTCATCTACATTTTTTAGATTCAAGGTTTGTCGATAAACGACTTTTTCTTGAAAGTTGGATGAACTGCAATGACAATACTTCACCAACTTCTTCAAAATGGAGGCAAAAAAGAGTGAATCAATTAACTGGTTTCCCATGATACTTTTTGGCGTTTCTGTTCCACCGTGAGGTATTTTTAGACTAAGATTTAAGGCAGCTGAATGCTTAGATCTAATCGTGTGTTAACTCGTTTTTGTGTTTTTTTTTCGCTTCAGATTGGGTGATATAAGGTTTCGAGCTAGTTTTTGTCCATCATACTTTGAACTTGTGATTTTTCCTGTTGTATTTTCAACAGTCGATGGTACGTTCATCGACTTTTGAAAATACAACAGGAAAAATCACAAGTTCAAAGTATGATGGACAAAAACTAGCTCGAAACCTTATATCACCCAATCTTCAGACTCTAAGTCGCTATTAATATTTTCTTTTTTTATCAGGAAAAATATTCAGGCTGTTTACTTTTTCGCGATTTGGTGTTTGATTTCTTTTCAAATTCATTTCATTTCCTTCGTTGAAAAGAAGGCAAGTTCCAATATCTAACAGTAAAAGTGTTATTGTCATGAAAAACGTGATCGACTTCTAGTTTCGAAAGTGTAATTTAATTTTCAAATTTCCCAGCTAAATGAAAGTTTTTATTTTTTGATCCAGTTTTCTCAAATTGGGTCAATTTTAGCAAAAATGTGCCAATCATAACTTGATCTGGAAATTCAAAGAGTTCTAAGGGAATCTATTTGTTTCTTGGAATTTCGAAACTTGAATCCCAATTTTTTTAACGTTTACTTGCGTTCCTTGTCTCTTTTCCAACTGTCTGTTGGCTAATTTTGATCATTCTTGTTATATTTTTGGCCTCCAGGTCTGGTGCTACCACATCCAAAAGGTGCTAGTTTGTTCCAAAAGTTCAATTAATTGTTTTAATGATCTCATACCATATGGTTATATTTGATTGTAGCATTTAGTTTATCTAATGATAATTTGCAAATTTACTTTTCTATATCAATTTGGTTGTGTTCAAACATACGAGGTTCCAGTCTTTAGCAATGTCTTAGTTTGCGAGTTTTATTTCACCGAGAATGACTTTGGGATTCGTAACCTCGGCTTTCCACGACAATTCGGAGAGGATTTATTTCTTGAAAGTGAGTTTGTTTGTTTTCAGGTTTCATGTAATTGAACTGTTTCGAGCTGGATCTTTCAAGGTAAAAGCGCGTTTGCAAAATTAGCATCTACACCGAGTTTAATCGCAATGTCAGATAATTAGGGTTCAACAAATAAAGCCTTCTTTTATGCGCTATTGCAAAACAAGAAGTTCGCTATATTTTTGAAGAAGTTTATGAGAACGCGTCATGTAAGTGCAAAGTGCTGGATTTAAATTATTCGAACAAAATTGGAAACTTTAAATGCGTCTACACAAAAAGTGATTAGGACAAAAGTTGCTTAAAATTTAACTTGAATTAGCATTTGTATGGCCCCCATTTATTTTAGCGTAAAAATTAGTATAATCAATCAAAAATAAGTCATCAAAAATAAGACTGAAACTACCTGGTCAACTGTTAAACAAATTACATCAAAGTGAGCTTCTTAAGTAGCTCAATAATGTTTAAGATATATTTTAGCTGGTATTTAAGTGTCGATGAACGTAGATAGGACACTGATATAGGCCGAGTTGTTTTTTTTTGCTTCAAATCTCGGTATACCCAAAGCCGATCTCTTACGCTAGATAAACCTACACGAGTTCCTGTTTCGAAAGTGGATTTTTTAAGAGTGTTGAACGTTGTGAAGACGCTTATATAGGTCTCGCTGATTTTTTCTTTTTTTTTCAGGAAAAAGTCTTTAAATATTGATGCACTTAGGTATAATGCACTTTTTGAGTTCAATTAAAATTCATCTGCTGAAAGTGACCTAAATAGCTCTCTTCAAATACGAACGTGGAAATGGCGCGAAAAAATGTTAACGACTTCTAGTTTCGAAAGTGGAATTTATTTGAAAGATTTTTCAGTGGAATAAAAACTTTACCTATTGATCCACTTTTCTCAAGGGTTCATGTTATCAAAAAAGCGCCAATCTTAAATTGTTCCATTAATTCAAAGAGCTTAAAAGGCATCTATATTTTTGAGATTTTTTCAAGAAAGTCTGTTTTTTATGGTTACTTGCGTTCATTACTCTTTTCCAATCTTCGATGGGCAATGTTTTATTTTAGCATTTTGGATTTTGATTAGTTTTAAAAATATCTCTATTTGCGACATATTTTTCATTGGCTCAATGGGCATCTAACCTGGCATTGTTGGTTTCGAGCGGTTTAAAATTCACCGATTGTGCAGGTTTTGCAATTCGGGTTCATTTTATTAGACTTGCGATACTCGAATTCTATTACTCGAATTCTACGGGAGGAGTCGTTGTCCCTAGATTGACACGTGATAATTTTTTAATAATAATTTTTCATAAGATGAGTACAGTGGCGCCTGAGGTTGAAAGTGAGGACGGGATGCACAGCAACAGTAGGTCCTACGGCAGCACCAAAAACCTCACTGCAAGCGAGAACAATGACAAAAATGGAGGAGGCGCTGCCACTCCAGCCTACCACAATGAAGTGAGGCAGAAAACGCCTCGAAGAAATGGTTGGCAGAGGCCATGGAACGCCATGCTGGTAAGTGGCTTGGTTCTCGATTAGAATGAGGTGGAGTTCCGCGTTTATTCAAATTCGAAGAGGCGGAGTTACTCCGCTTGTTATTAAGTGTCAGTGAACGAGTTGAAGACATTTTTTTGTGGTTGTTTTTGTTTTTTTTTTTTTAGAAAAAGTAAAAGTTTATTCACTCTCAGCACAGCATTATTTTTTCGAGGCTTGACTTCATTTTCTGGAGTTCATTCAAATTCGCATGCTAAGTGGAAGACAAATTGCTCTCTCCAATTACAAAAATGCAGATGTCTAGTTTTGAGAGCATGTCTATGCTCTCTCTCTTCGCTCTCATGAGTCAGTCGTCGTCTTGTTCTGGACCCTCTACTCAGTATATAGGTTTAGTTCTGCTTTTCAGTTTGCCCTGGTTATTATCCCAGTCCTGTTGGCCCTCGCTTTCCTCGGATCGTTTCCACTCTGTGTACCCTACTCATGGAGGCCAGCTGCATTCATCGTAAGTACTCGTCGTTAGAAAATATATCAGACAATCTAATTGGTTGGTTTGACTGTAAAACCATAATTATTTATGCGGAATATCAAAAGTCTCAATATCTCTTTCTTTTGTATCGAATTAGTTTTTTTTTCTAGTGGTCATAGAAAGACAAAATTTTATGCCCACAGAATGAGAGCCCAAACTTATTGTTTAGATATTCTCTTGTGCATTTTCTATATTCTACGGAAACTTTCTGCTGAGTGCAACTATCAACGCCGCCGAGCCAACCGTTTCTAAACTATGGGGACAAAAGAAGGCACGGCTGTTTCCGAAAGATCCATCTAAGCTTCAGGAAGCGAGTAGCGATGACACTGACACAACTAATCGAAGTTCAGTTATTCGAAATAATTTCTGCTATATTTGTGATGCTTTCGTGGGAAGAAGTGCGAAACATTGCGGTCAATGTAATAAGTGTGTCGAGGGATTCGATCATCACTGCCTGTGGCTGAATAACTGTGTCGGCAAACGGAACTATAGGCAAGTAGTAATGGCATTTAAGTACGAAGGTTCGTAAGAGTCAAGGGCGGACCTAGGATTTTCTCGAGGGGGGGGGATTTTCAAAAAATTTTCAAAATATTTGACGACCTTTTTTTTGGCCGATCAAATTGATTTTCCGAGCTCTCCTAAAGCACTAAAAAGACGATGCTTTCGTCCAATTTTTTGCGCCGCAGACAAATTTTTTGGAAACAGTTCAAAAAAGCCGTTTTTGAGCACTTGGAAAATTTACAAAAAATCACGTTTTTTTTGGCGCGCGCTCCCCCTCAAAGTTAATATATATTGGCGCCTTTAGAATTTTTCAGGGTCGGTTGGCCAAAAATGGATTTCTTAAAAGTACCAAAGGGGGACCCTTTGGATCGGCAGTGGGTCGAATCCCTGAGGAAGGGCGTACGCCCCCCCCCCCCCCTAAATCCGCCCCTGGTTAAAGTCACTGTTTAAACATGATCCTGAGGCCGAGTTATGATCCTGAGCTTCGCCTCTCTTTATGTTTGTGTTGCATTTTTCAGGCCTGTGAATAGTTTCTGCTGCTAGATTTTCCCTAGTAAAGCTAGTCGCGAAAGTGATTCAGTTGAATCGGGAGGTTGTGATCAGAATCAAGTGTATTGATCTGAGGCCTTTTTTCCTAAACGCTCTTTGGCTTTTTTGTTGCCAAAGTTCTCTTATTTTTCGCATATCTTATATTTTGTTTATTCATCGCTGGATTGAAAATAGGCTTTGGCTCAGACGATAGATTTATGCTGTTTCAGATACTTTATATACACCCTAGTTGTCGGCATCATCATCCTCTTCGGAGTTGTCATCTGCTCAGCTGCTCTCATTTTTGTGGCCGCATTGGACCAGGACAAAATCCAAACCTGGATTGGTTCGTTATTTATTTACTCAAGCTTAGTTCTGTGTTATCTGAAATAATAAATGTGCTTTTTCAAGTCTGATTTTGAAACGGAAGTAATATCGAGCTCAATATGTTTCAGCATCGAATGGCAAAGGAGAAAGTAAGTAGTTTTATTGTTGTCAATTTGTCAACATTTTGAAGTGTCAATGAACAATCATGAAAAAAAGTGTCGGTCATAAAAGGAGCTTCAACGTGTAATTTTTTCATACTTTCGATGATTAATGTTCACAAAAATATGATTTATGACATTTTTTTAACTTTCTTTTGGCTATATTTTGTTTTCAAGTCTTTTTTTCTTTTTCTAGACATCTTATGAACCAAGAAAAGATTTTTTAAATTCTGTGATGAAGTCAAAATCATGTTGTTGGCTTGGATACCAATAATTCATATTAGAACATGTCTTTCTCAGCAGCAGACTTCGTGGTTTTCGGCCGTGTATCTCGACCGGTGTTTCTTGTGTACAACTGCGTGCTGGTGCTGGTTGCAACTGTCATCCTTGGATTCACTCTACACCTCCTAGCATTCCACATTTATCTAAGTTAGACTAATTTTTTTGTATGCTCTTAGTTTTTTTTATTTAAACACAAAGTTTGATTTGAACAGGTTTTACTATAAATTGTTCTGTGTTTTGTAAATTTACCAGTCTGATTTTTGATAAAATTTAGATTTTTTTTCGGTTTCGATTAAACGGTTTGGGATTAAGTTCTATCGGCTCAAGTCACTTATATTGCGTAATTACGAGGTCAAAATCTATTCTTGTTAGTTTCAAAAGGAATGAATGGTAAAGAGTTTTAAAACCTTAGTGCTCAAAACATTCTGTTTTTCTGCACAACTAGGGTCGACACAAATTTTTCTAGCCTTTGTTGCATCTGGAATATAGGATTTTTTTTCGACTTTTTACACCTGCGAGCAGCTAGTGTATTAGTTCGAATTTTTTTTCTGTTTCTAACCGAACTCGCAAATAAAAGTGTTCATTGAAAGAGTTCGCTTATATGGAAATTTCACTGAAGCATTGGAAATTGCATATCATCTGTTCTCTGCTTTATATGTGGATTGTGTTTGCTATTAATTAAGCAGCCGTGGCTGACTGTTTAGTGCGTGAGTCTCATAATTTCTAGATCGCAGTAGGTAGTAGGTTCGAACCCGAGATGTTGCCGAATTTTAACTAATCTCTTCGCCTCTGTGTAAAAATTGGTTTCTTCAACTTAATTGTTCAAAAAAGTTTTCAGCATTCGTGTCTTTTTTCTATACACTATCATGCAACTCTGATGAGTTTGAAACAGTTTTTTAATACACTTGCGAGAGCAGGTAAGTTTCTTGTTATCGGGAACTAGACTTTTTTCCCTTAAACAACTTTTCTTACAAGAAATTGAACTTGCTGTATTATTGAGTCTTAACAATTTTCAGGTTCCTTCTGACTTGGCCTTAAGGTAACGCGGTCGCTTTTGCGCCCTGAGGTTTGAGGTTCAAGTCTCGATAGGACCTTGATTTTTTGTAATATGTATGAAATCAAATTTTTTTTTTTGTTAAAAACTGAGTTGTCGGACTTTCGTTTGTCTGCTCAAGTTTTGCTCGGTGTCGTTGCGACTTCAAGGATTTTTTTTTGTACTGTAAGCAAGCACCATGGGAGTTGCAATTGCTGTTTGTGATATCCTATGCGGTATCGTGTGATAACTAATGATAATTCAATAATGTATTCTGATGTATTGAATTAAGTTTTCTCTTTTCTTTCTTTTGATTAGTTACTGAGAGATAAATCAGAATTTTTGTGATTGTTTTGTCGTTTATTTGTTTCCCTTCTGTTTTGATTCTTTGTTGTTCCTGACGAATTCCTAACTGCCATTACAGGTTCTTGTTTTATTCTCACTCCCGATTTGTAATTGTTACTTGTTCCTCCTGTTGCCGCAGCATTCGTGTTATGAAATGCCATTGTGGTTAATTTACTATGTTCGAAATTTATCGCCCTTTTCAGAACTTCTTCAGGATCTAGAGTTTCAAATGTCAACGTGTCCTGCAATGTCATGTTTTTCATTTTCGAAATGAATAGATCACGGACTATCTCACTTTCCAATGTTCCCAATTCAGATCGAGCTGCTTGCGCAGTTAGCGCTGCATGAAATGCCTCCAGAGATTCCCCGGATTCTTGCATTCGTGTAAACAGTTTATTTCTTTGATATGTTACACATTTTACCTCTTGCAACGAAACTTCTGCAAGTTCTGTGATTTCCCTGAACGACATTTTGGATATTTTGACATGCGGATTCTTTTGTAATGCGGAAACTAGTGACATAAATAATCTGGATACTATTTTCTTTTGCACTTCGTTGTAAAATACATTGTGGCCAACTCGTGGGCCTCTTGTCCTTCTCTCTTCATTTTCTAGCATTACTCTATCCCTTGCTAACTTATCTCTAAGATTCCTAGTAGTCATCGCAGCTTTAGTCTCTCCCTCTCGTGGTGTTTCTGGTCGAGGAGGTGGTTCTTCTAATATGCCTTTTGGTTCTTTTAATATAACATCTGGATTTACGTTTTCTTTGATAGTTAATGCCATTAGAAATTGTTCCAACCAAATTTTGAACTGCCACGGAGGGTCTAAATTTGCTGACGCCCAAAATACGGGTATTCCCATATCCGTCCGGTTGTCCGGAGCTGCAAATCCTGCTGGCTGCGCCATGTGATATCCTATGCGGTATCGTGTGAAAACTAATGATAATTCAATAATATATTCTGATGTATTGAATTAAGCTTTCTCTTTTCTTTCTTTTGATTAGTTACTGAGAGATAAATCAGAATCGAAAACTCTGAACTCTCAACCGTGTGTCAATGTCACATCACACAGTGACCTTGTGTCACTATAAAGTTAATAACTATACCACCGCAGGTTGGTAGTACATAAGTCAATTAGTGCTATTGCAGTAGCAGTATGACACTGTTAATTGTAGTTTCAAGGGACAATATTCAAGTTTTGCACAATCAGCTTTTCGGCTCAACTTGTGGTGTCTGATCAAAGATTGTCGTCTTTGTTCCTGCTTCGTACGTTTTGTTCCATCGCTCATTCAAATTCAATTATCTTGGTTGGCTTATTTGCCTAGAATTTCTAAATTAAGATTTTATGGAAAGGTATAAAATTTGGTTTTTATTTTTTAAATTGTTTTTGCTTGAAACGCTCAGGAAAATTATTTCAATTTTTGCCAAAGTTTTAGTTTTTTCTCGATTTTCAAAAAAAAGAGTTATCAATGGAAAGAGCCCTTAGTCCCTTGTGTGCCAGTATAGTCTTTCTAACTTTTCTTCACTGTCTACAGTTTTTGACAAAGTCTCTGGGGAATGTTTGGCCCATTTTAAGAATTTTTTCGTACCCTGCCAAACTACCCTGCCAAATCAGAAGTTTTGGGTTTAATGGCTACAACCGGTTGTGGGGAAACTCCCCTGTCTTAGTGGCATCGCTCAAATGTTTTAAACAAAAAGTAGTTGCCCTAGAATTTGGGTTCAATCGCAATCACAGGTTGTGTGGATATCTCCCATCTTTTTTACGCATAAAGCTAAGATTCTGTGAAAAACTCTGTTTGATTTGTTGACCGTTTATATACACTTCTTGACTTTTATCCTTAACTTCGATCCTGCCAAATCTGATATCAAAGAATAAGTCAAAGCAAGGGTTTGTTTAAAGCATGTTTCCATTAGCGGCCACGCTCAATTTCCTAGAATTGGTTATGGCCTTCTAGAAAGTCTTAGTTTTGAAATTTGACTGTTTTCGAAAATTACCCTGCTAATTCTTTGGTTTAAGTGTTCAATCGAAAAATCCGATTTTTTTCTCCTTTTGCTAAAGCGGCCACGACTTACTTCTTGCTGAAAAAACTAATTGATTTAGAAAGTAAGGTTTTTTTACCTTTTGACAGTTTTTTAGAAACGTTTTAACTTCTCTTAAAAACTGTTCTTTTAAGTGTGACATTAGGGGTTCAATCGAAAGAACCGGCTGTGAGAATTTTTCCTGCAGTAGCAGCGGCTCCTTTTTGCAAAGAAAAATATAATGTCCTCGGTAAATTCCAATTTCTCAATAATTTTTACTCTTCTCGCTTATTTAAGCAGGGAAACAACTGAGAGTTTGGGCGAAGTCCAATTTTTTAAATCAAGAAATAACCTATTTCATCTCGCATCAGTATAACAAATTCGAAAGATGTAAAACATAAATATCCAGCTTTAGGTGGGTCCATGGTGTTTTTTAATTGAGAAACTTTAGTTCATCTACTTTTTTTTCAGTATTTTGTGAAGCTCCGCTTTGCTTGTTTAAAGCAATTTTTTTCATTGGTCGGTTCATATTTAGTGCGCCGTGTTGTCAGTTTTCTAACCAAATTGCAAGTCGGGGAGCCACGAGAGGGGGCAGTAAGTTAGTGTGTGTGTGTGACAGTGTACGTTGATAACAACGAGCTAGCCAAGGTCGCTTATAAAAATTGCTAATAAAGGTCGCTAATAAAAAACCTTTTGCTATATTCACGATCTGCAGCATTGGAAATTTTATAGCATCTGTTCTCTGCTTTATTGCTGGCCAACATTTACGTTTTTTCAATGACCGTGGCCACAGAGGGAAGTATGTGAGATTCCTCATCTACTAGTTGGAGTTTCAACTCCACACTTAGCAATAGTTTTGTTTAATAGTTTTCTTTATACTTGATGGCATTTTTGCTGCTTAGCATTGGCAATTTATTAACATTTGTACAGCTTTTTTGGTGGCTAGTGTTTGGAAATTTTAATGGACGTAGTTCATTCATATCCGCGAATTATGAAGTTTATTGATTGTAATTTTAGATTGGAGGTCGATGTCAACTTACGACTATATAGTCAGACAGCGCAAATTAGTCCAACAACAGCAATTATCATTTAAGAGTAGCGGTACCGGTAGTTCTCTCTGTCTCAAACGGGAACACTCGTCGAGCATCGAAAGGAAGCCAACCACAGCACCTGTCGGAACTGAAGTGCCCATAGGATTACATGTGGAAAATGGAGACTTGAGAGTTGGATTGCATGGAAATGAAGATGTACGTAGTGTGTTCTTCGACGAAAACTTGTAATTTAGTTCGTTTAGGGTAGAGTTTTGGTGCTATATGAATGCTCTGCATGATAATTCAACTTGGTTATGTCAGTCAAACTAAAAATTTGATCTTCAGTTTTTGTTAAAGTGTTCATTCAAGCGTGCAATCGATTTTGACAGTTTCAGGAAGATTTTATCTTTTGTTATATCAATCTGTCTCAGTGGCGTGTGTTGCTATTTGTTTTTCAAAAAGGATATGATGTTTTTCGAAAAAAATTGTTGGGCATAATTTGCTCGAAAACATGTGAGCCCAAATCTTTTACCGATAACGAATTTTAATCGAAATTTCAAGCGATTAAATCATACATGGCTTTTGCGGTCCTATTTCATCAATTTCTCCAGCACGTCTGAGCAGGCATAGGTTTGATAAAGTTCAAGCCATAGACGTTCTGGTATAAATTTTTGTGCATTGAAATAAATATTGATGCATACCGATTAATGAGTCTTTTCAAATGCATGCGAAAGTTTTTTTTGTCAGGTATTCCCGCGAATCCAAATCAAAAATGGCTTGCTTATCTGTGCTTAATGTGTCATTAGTTGTTAACAGACAATCAACGCCGTGAAG